AACAAAATACCTTCGAGTTCGGCTACGCTCAGCTCCAAGGCACATTATTTATAGTATAGCTCAAGGCAATAAGGGCTATCTGTCAATACGATTGTCGAGTTCGATTCCATTCAACTCGATGACACTTCGATCACACTACTGTCTGACTGCAATCACGGTTTTCAAGTCGAGAAGAAGACCTGGGCTAGCCATGCCTCAGTGACAAGAAATCGTTTTCCGACATCATAGCTTAAGTCGAGAAAAACTATCTGTCAACGAAGACCCTTTGAGTTCGATTTCATTCAGCTCGAGGGCTTATCAACCACATGGTAGAGTCAAGGAACTATTTTCCCGTCGAATTTTCCAACCAAGATCTTTAAACCGAGAAGAAGATCGAGGTGGACTGTAATTTAAAGCCATATCCTGATTCCGAACTACGGCTTCAATTCCATATCATTTTAATATGGACTCGACTTCACGATGGAGGAGTCATCCGCAACCCAATTCGACAGGGAGTTATTCTTCAACTTCACCGAATGAAAATTTGTGTCTTTTTATCTTTGTCTTATTTTTCGTTCCACGAAAAAAGACAAAGAGGAGCAGTTGTAGACACTCATTTTCGTCCACATTTATTTTTATATTTTTATTTTATTTATAATATATATATATATATATATTATATAATTTTGAAAACATTTTGAAAATATATATGATATATAGTTTTTAAAACATTTTTGAAAACATATATATATTATATAGTTTTTAAAATATTTTGAAAATATATAATATATAATTTTTTAAAAAGCATTTTGAAAACATATATATATTATATAGTTTTTTAAAAAAACCCTTTTGAAAAACATAAACATATTTTAAAACATTTTTGAAAACTATATAATTTTGAAAACATTTAAAAAAAAATATAATATATAATTTTAAAATATTTTTAAAATATATTATATAGAATTTCAGAAAATATTTTTTAGTTTATTTTTATTTTAATTTATTTACCTTTTTTTATTTATTATTATTATTACCTTTTTTATTTTTATTTTCATTTTGTTGCAGGGTCCAATTAAACGGTCCTGTAACAGTCCATATTGGGCCTGAACCAGCCCAACAAGAGTCTAGGGTTTTTATATTTAGGATCTGGCGCCACACTAATGAAGACCCTTGGATCAGGGTATGAATGGACGGCCAAGATCAAATGTAGCTAGGGAAATAAAACCCTAAAATTTATATCACGCCGCAGTCAGATCTGGACTGTTGGATCTGACCCAATCCAACGGTCGAGATCAAATCGGGATAAAATGTTCCAGAAGCCTGAATGTCACCAACAACAGCGCATACACCGGTCAACACCGAGATTTTCGGCCGGGGAATTCGGGACTGACCCATCCCGAAATCTCGACCAACGACGAGTCTGTTATCGTGATTATTGGAACGGCCAACAGCGGTGGGGGTATAAATACCCCCACCAAACAAAAGCACAAGACAGAGATCAACCATCACAAAAAACCATCATCGACCAACGAACACAGAAAGCCAAACAATCATCGAAACCCATAACATCACGAAAACACAGAACATCGAAAGCCATAGCCACGAGAAAACCGAGAACCTAAACCACACAAGAACGAAACCCACGATCGAAACCAACAGTGAAACAGCCACAAACAAAATCGAAACTCGAATACAACAACACAAAAGAAACAAAGAAGGTAAATACACAACAAAAATAAAAACCGAAGCATCAACCACCAAGAGCTCGCCGGGAAGCCGAAGGGACGCACCGAGAAAGGTAAAACCCGAGCCTTTCGGGCTAGATCTACGACGATCGGGCCATTTTTTGGCGATTTGGGTTTTGGTTGTGAACTCACGGTGTTGAGAGGAGTGTTTTAGGTGATTTTAGTTTTCTCCGGCCACCAGCGGTGGCGGCGGTTAGCCACCGTGGTGTGGTCGGGTTTCCTTGCTTTGGGATTAGTTGAGAGAATTTGGAGAGGAGTTATTTGAGAGGCGGAGAAATGAAGATAATTTGGGGTTTATTTGGTATTTATGTTAAACCCGTTAGGCCAACCCGACCCGCGCGCGACCCGATCCAACTCCCAGGATCCGCGGGTTTTGCTTTTAAAAAGGGTAAATTATGTTTTCAGTCCCCCTTTCTTTGTAATCATATATTCTGCCCTTTAATTCAAAATCATTCCTGATTTTTATTTTAATTTTGTCCCTCAATTTTATTTTCTTTTAAAGTAGTCATTTTTCTTATTTTCATGTTTATTTTATTTTATTTTATTTTAATCTCGTATTATTTTTTTATTCATTTTCCCCCTCATATATATATATACATTTATTATTATTATTATTATTATTATTTACTTCTTATTTTTTTCCTTTTATTTTATCTTATTATATATATATATATATATATATATATATATTTATAATCTTATTTAATATTTTTCCTTTTTTGATTATCTTTATTTATTTATTTTAATTTCATTTTTAAATATTTTTTTATAATTTTATTTTTAGTTTTTTCTTTCGTTTTTTTGATTAATTTAGTATTTATTTATGTATTCATTTATTCCCTCTAACATCTTTGGAGAAATCTCAACTAATCAAATGTAAGTAACTTGAATCGATTTTTTCAATTTCAATTTTCGCAATTAAGGACAACCGAAAAATTAATTGGTATTGAAAGGGCGGTTCAAGGTTGCTAATCATTCCTTGACCGTAACCGACTCCTGAACCCGGCACGTTTCTGGTATAACACAAATCAGGTAAGATGGTATCTGACCCACCTAAATTCGTTTTAAATAGTCGGTGGCGACTCTAAAGTATTTAATCCAAGTCGAAGCCCAATTTCGAACCCATCCAAAAGACGGTCGCGACAATCATCCGAGTATAAATGGTGTCAAATGCTGATGATTTATGTATTGTTTATCTAATTTTTTAAAATTAAAAAGTATACACATTTGGTGCAATTCTAATCTTCTTTATAAAAAGTGGACTAACTATGTATTAAATAATAAGCCGTTTTTTTATGAGAAGTGATGACTCAGATCTACACATTTTAAAATAATTTCAAATAATTACTCATTTCTTTTTTACATGTAGAAAAAAAAAATGAAAAATTACCTTATAAATGAAATGAACAAATATTATTAATTGAAACCATCATCTAATAAATTTTCACTTTGTTTATTGTTACATTTTTCATAATAAAATATCAATTTTTTTTAATAAAATAAATGAGATGATATATTTAAGGGGGGGGGGGAAATACTCGCAGCTACCTTGTCCTTTTGCAGAAAGTTTCATTTTATATCATAGGCGTACATAAATAGAAGCCATTATTGGACTGATTAATAAAATAAATAAATGTTTATTTTTATTCTCAACCACTGAAAGTCAATGTCTATCTAATTAGGTCCAAAATTAATGGCTAACAATCTGATTGCCACCAGCTGGCTCAGGTTTTGTTTCCATTCCTTTTTCTTTATTTTACATTCAATGAATAAGAAAAATGCATCTTTTATTTGTTCTTTTTCTAGAAACAATATAATATTCTTTTCTTTACATATGAAACAGTTTTTGAGTTTATTCAGATGATTGAATCCATACAATTCTCTAACAGAACATATTCTTTGTATGATTTAAGCGTGGATATAATATTATTAGTAAATAATAATCCCTAATTTACGGAAAATGAATGAGAAATAGTAAAGCAAAATGAATGAGGTTTAAAGTTGACTTACTCTCCAGTGAGTCGCTTGGATTAAACGTTCCATTGGCAAATTCCACTTTTTTTTTTTTTAAAGTAGAAGTGTAGTCACCGGCCGTACACTCGCGCCAACCAAATTCAACAGAATCCTAATCACCAAAGAAAAAGCAGTAATCAAACTGACTCGTCATTATTCCAATTGATTAAATTAGCGGGCTCTTATTCCCATATGTAATGAGGTAATGGGAAGATAAGATAAGATACCTCCAATTGATTAGTATTAAATAATAAAAATATTAAGGTTAATTACCTCATTCATACATAAACTATACCCAATTCTCTGATTTATACATAATGTTTAAAAATTATCGATTTCATACATGATGTTTTATACCGTTAACGAGTTCACCCATTTTCGTCACGGAAGGTGATGTGGAACTTTATATGGGTGTCACGTGACACGTGGCATTCCCGTCACCCATTTCTAAAGTTTCATGTGACATTTTGTTAAGAGTTTCATGTCACCTTCTGTTACGAAAATAGATGAACCTGTTAATGATATAAAACATTCTGTGTGAAATTGATATTTTTTTAACATTATGTATGAAACTTAAAATTGTGTATATTTTATGTATAAATGAGGTAATTAACCCTAAATATTATTAGTTCCTCTTTCAAATTTGAAATAAAAAAAAGTATAGATAAAACAAGCCCATCATATATATTTCGTGGAAACAATGCCACACACCTTTTCCTGATAAAACAAAACCCTGATTCAAAACAAATTGCCACGTCATTTGTTTATGTTTTACCTGTTCTTTTTTTAGGGTTTGGTTTGTATTCAATTGAATGTCATTTTGTGATTGGATTCAGCTAGAGATAATGTAATATTGGAAGCATCATATAATCATATTACGCTATCAAGATGCACCCAAGGATGCCTTTGACTTCGTAAATCCATGCGCATTACTTTATTGGTTTCATTGCTGTTAAACTATAGCCATTTTGGCAATTAACAAGTGTCAAAGTGCTGAAGAATCATTTCCTAATAGTTTTAACAGGAAATCTGCTATGCTTTTGTTATTTTAATATTAATCGAGAAGATTATAATTATAATTTTTTATAGTTTAAGATGATTATAATATAGTATATATTTAAAATATCTTTTAAATTATTAAAAATATAAATAAAATTATTTAAATTAGAGATTTTTAAGAGAATAATAACTTTTAAATAGTCAATCTTGATATATTTAAATAGAGAGAGAACAAGGAGAAGGATAGGCTACATTCACTTCTCTACTCTATTCGTTCCTTTGATTACTAGTAATCATAGTCCCCACTCTCCTTTATTTCCCCCTCTATCAAGCACGCTTTCCGACTCCAATACCGGAACAAAAATTCTGAGCTTTGATGGGTACTGATGCATGTAACACTGGCCTCGTTCTCGGTTTAAGCCTCTCATCGACCGTGGAGTCTTCATCCAAGCAGGATCACAACCAAATTCCCAATAAGATTCCATCGTTTCTTAAGCTTGAATCAACGAGTTTTGATGACGAATCTTCGCTCACATTGGGGCTTTCTGGTGGCGGGCGAGGTGAGAGTTATCAGGTTATGGCTGCTGCTACACAAAAGGTTGATGTGAAATCTACCGTGGGCGGTGATTTGTATCGCCGAGCTTCATCTCTTAGTGCTGTTTTATCGTTTTCAAGCGGTAAGGTCAAGAGGGAGAGAGAGCTTAGCAGCGAAGAATTAATGGAGGTAGAGAAGAAGAATAATTCTTCTAAACTCATTGATGAAGATGAAGAAGGTGTTAATGCAAGAAAGAAACTCCGTCTCTCCAAACAACAATCTGCTCTTCTCGAGGAAAGCTTCAAACAACATAGCACTCTCAATCCCGTAAGCTTTATCTGATATATATATACATGTATATGTATGCTCGTAATTGATTGATTAATCTTTTGCTGCTATATTTTATGGTAACAGAAACAAAAACAAGCTTTAGCATGGGAATTAAACATGAAGCCTAGACAAGTTGAAGTATGGTTTCAAAACAGGAGAGCCAGGTAAATCAAATAGCAACATATTTACAGAAGACCCACTAAATTTATACCTCCCAAATCAATGGAAACATTATTTATATCTATTTTGGGGGAGCACAGGACAAAGCTGAAGCAAACTGAGACGGACTGTGAGTTATTGAAAAAGTGTTACGAGGCACTAACGGATGAAAACAGGAGACTGCAGAAGGAGATTCAAGAGCTCAAGGCACTGAAACTGGCTCAACCCTTTCACTTGCACATGCAAGCGCCCACCCTCACCATCTGCCCCTCTTGTCAAACAACTACCGGCGTCGCCGATGCCAATGGCAATTCCGACAACCCATATTCGATGGCATCGAAGCCTCACCATTTCTATAACAACAATCCCTTAAGCAATCCTTCTGCAGCATGTTGATTATGTTTTTTTGTTAGAGCCTTAGTATCAAAGGAAAGAAAATAGATCCCAACAAGCCAACAACCCCTTTATTTTTGGTTGATGGCTTCTAGTGAATTAAAACTAGTTTAATTATTCAATTAATTAATTTGTAGAATCCACTCATCTTTTGTTTGTAATGATCATTAGAAAACATATATAGAATCTGTGAAAGGGTTAGTATTCTTTGTATTTAGTATTAGTTGTCTTGTTTCGTGTGTAACGGTATATTTATCAAATTTCCCCTTTAAATTCCTTTTCTTTAGCTTCAGGTAATTATATGGCCATGGATGAAACAATGGATTTTAAAAAAATTATTTGATGATGACAACATCGCTTTGGTTTTTCTTTTTTAGTTTGTATTTATCAAATTGCACTTATAAAGAAGAAAAATAATGATGTTCACATTGACTATGAGAAAATTTAGGACTTTCTTTTGTACATATATACTTCGTTGAAGCTTCTTCTAACACACTTATCAAAAGATAATAATGTAAGAATTTAATAATATATATATATATATATATATACATAAATTAGTAATATAAAGCATTATGTTCTACAATCCAAAATATTTCGGTGGTTAAATAATTATTGTTACTTTTACAGGTTTTGGATTTGAGCATAAGATTTATAGAGATGTTAAAGTATTAATTGACACCCAAAAAATTTCCAATCTTTTTTCTTTATATATATAAATTATATGTATAATATAAAATTTAGAAAATAACACCTTTTTAAAAAAGTTTTGACACTGTATGTATTAAAGGTGTTTATTCGTTTAATTCAATCACCGGTCAAACTAAATTTTTATTAATAATCAATTTTTCTCTAACTATTAACTGAATCAAATTGAATAAAGTTTGATTAATTCGATCGATGATTGAATTAATCAAAATTTTTAATATGTTTTCTAATTAGATTAATTTAATTTTAATGTAGATTTTTTTTATTTGGGGTCAAAATTTAATTAGATCTTGATAATTTAATGGATATAATGTGATTAAAAAATAATTGGGTCTTAATTCTTAATAGATTTAAGCTTTAAATATTTATTTAATATATATAATATATTTAATATTTTTGTTAATTCGATTAATTTAGTTAATTAATTGATTTTGAATCAAAGTAACCGTAAAATATTGAAAAAATTAATTATTTCCCGACCGAACTAATTTAGTGGTCGTCCGTTTTAACCGAATTAATTCAGTTCAGTCGACAAATTTCGATTAAAACTAAAAAATGAACACCCTTAGTATGTATGTATATTTTCTTTTGATTATTGTTTTAATAGCTTGTAATAGTCTTATGTTAGTTTAACTATATTTTACATTAGTTTATCGAATTTTAATGTTATGCATTAATTTATGACTTTATCTATATTATAAAAATTCTAGCTACGACCTTCATCAAATGATTGAAGATCTTTTAAATATATATTAATCACCCGTACTAATAAAAAATATTCCATCGAAAGAATGGTACAAAGGTTCATCCCATTTTGATGGTGTCCAACTTTTTGGCTGTCTCAAATGAAGAATAAATTGATTAAGTGAGAAAGGAAAAGGGTGTGGGGAGGGAGGTTTGCTCACGTGTATTTCTCTCTAATTTCATTTGTTTTACATGCACGAATGTATAATCCATCATTTTTATTATGATACAAATCATATAAGTACATTAAAATCGCTAGGTCTAATCTTGGTTTTGTCCCTTTATTATTCTCAAATGTGAGATTTAGTCCCTTTAAATTAATATAATCTGATCATTTTACTTTTGTAGTGTTGTTAGTTAATATTTCTAGTAAAGGAAGCAAATCATGTCAAATTAAAATGAAAAGAAAAGTAAAAATCTAAACTTGAGTATAATAGAGGGACTAAAACAAAAAATTTACAATTTTTTTATATCGAAAAATTAGAAAATTGCTCACGCAGATCAAGAAAATATTTTTTTTAAAGGGAAAAGTTGGTTAGAAGCTTGTAGAAAAAGAAGTTTGAAAATCCCAAAATAAAATAGAGAAAAGGAGAAGGAAAATGATGGTCTGGTGAGATGCTGGGTGTTTAAGGCTCAACCTCAACCCCTTTTATTAATCGATGATCAAAGACACAAACCTCGTTCTATAACAATGACAGGAATTAACATAAAATAATTTAACGTTAGAAATATAAATATCTAAAATTTGTATTAAAATCTTAAGCGTACGATATTAAAAAAAATTTGAGATGAAATTATATCATAAATATAAAATATAATAAGAAAATTTAAAATTTTAAAAGATTTTGATCACCTCCTATATTCTCGTGATCCATCCATATTCCTCAAAAACTTCCACTCTTGATTAGAAATTCCAAAATGTCATCCCAAAAAACTACATCTTCCAGTTTTACTATAAAAGGAATCCAATCATCTCTCAATCTTAGGTTTCATCAAGTGGAGGGTGTGGAGCAGTACTAGTCTTTCAGTCACGGGTGCTCCTTATTCACAAGTTAAATGCCGTATTCATTACATGCACGCTATCGACAATAACATGTGTGATTAGAAACTTTTCCTTGTCAAATACTACTACTATCAATTATCACACACACTTTCCTGGAAAATTAGGGTTACTTTCCCTGCCTCTCTCAATCTTTTCTTCATCGTTATATGACAGACATGAACCTCAACCCTCCTTTGAACTCAAACATAGAATACACTCATTCATTTGAAGCTTGCAATAGCAAAACACAATACACTCATTCATTTGAAGCTTGCAATAGCAAAACATGTGTCTTGAGTTGGTTAATTTGTCGGTCCATGTTGGATTGATTGCATTATTTGTTTTGTATTTATTCTTGTCGTCAATATAATCTGGGTGTTTTTTATACAACAGGTTAAAACAAAATAACAAAGCATTTACGTGTTGTTTTGTATATTAAATATGCTGCACTGTCGCCCACCAGTTATGGATACCTTGAGTGCAACTCTTTGCTCTTCTTCACCATAATCAATCATCTTTCATTTTCAAATAAATACAGAAGAAAAGTAAAAACCCTGTCAACATCAAATTATTTATAGTATTTGGTTTGTTTGACATATGTGCTTGTAAAAGAATTGGGTGCCAAAGGATGAATTCTCTAGCTTTTGTAAAAGATAATTAATTGAACTAAAGAAATTAGGTATGAAATTAAAATACTAAACTTTATCCGTAAACGGATTTGGTTAGAATTAGGTGAGGAGAGATGATTATGATTGGTTAAACAAGAGGTGAGGCCGACTCATCCGTGACTAAAAAGTGGGGATTGATGGGCTCCTTCCGTAGGTGCAGCAAACATAATGGAAGGCTAAAATAACCTTGTCAAATTCAAATCCCACTCTATCTAACTATTTTTTGGATGCTTGTATTTAAATTTTGTCGGCAGATATTTATTTATTTGGTTAGTTTTCTGCAGTGTTTTAATTTTTATTAGCTATCCATTAATGTTTGAACTAATAGTTAGAGTAACATTATGATCTAATCGATATAGTACTGATATTTCAAGATTCAATTAGAATTTGAGTTAAAATTTAAATTAAGGTAAATTACAAATATTATCATTCAATTTTTTTCACTCTTATTTTTGTCACTAAAGTTTTAAAACTTTTAATTTACTCACTAAATTTTTTATTTGATCATTTTTTGTCACTCCACCATTAAATACTTAACATCCTTATGATTGCATATTTTTCTTTTGAAACTATGAAATTGAACAAAAATTTTCTCTATTTTTTGTGAAAAACTCAGTTTTAAATTCCCTTTGATTTCTCTATATGATGAAACATATTCTTCCAAATCCTAATGGTGGGGAAGTAGAGGAGGAAGCAAGTTGTATATCTTGATTATACATTGATCGAATGGTAGATATCATATGCTTTAAGGTTTCATGAGATTTTGGTTTCATGGTTGAATTTATGAATTTTGTGCTTTAGGTAAAATTTAAACTGATAGAGTAGTAGGAAACAATGAGGTGTGTTCATCAATATTTTTTTTTAGTGGTCGAAGAAGACGTCAAAAAAATGATAATTACAATGTTGACCTGACATATATATGAAAATAAAAAACTTTCATCTTTGGAGGAAGAAGATAAAATAAAAAGGGGAAATGATGTAGATGACACATGGATTCCATATCAAAAAAAATCAGTCCACATCAATACGTGTGTTTGCCATTATACTTGATAGGAGACGACAGTGGAGTGATGAATGTTGCTCGAAGTTGAAGAATTAAGCCTAGGGATCTAGAATCATTCAAAGAACGAGATTGGATGGAATTAGAGATTTTGTCGCAAATTAGGGTTTCTTGAATGGGAAAGTTGTTAGAAATAAAACAAGAAGATGATGATTAGGAAAACAATGTAATAATGATGATAAATATATAAAAGAATTACGAAAAGATAAATAAAGATATGAAAAAAATAGAATTGAAAATTCTCCTTGGTATGTATATGATTGCTTGAAGATGGCTATGGTGATGTAATTGTCATGAGATGATAATGGTGATGATAAGGATGATGCATAAATGTCCTACGAACCCTCCTAATCGTAATTTACTAGATGAACTCGATAATTAACTCTAACTAACCCTCCTAATCGTAATGAGAAGGAAAATCGAAGTGTGAAAATCTCCCTCACAAAGAACTTGAAGAAATTTATGATAAAGAATGTTTCGAATGTGCAAGGTAATAAACACTTGCAAAAACATACTCCCGTATTATTAATCAAAAAAATATGATTTTCAAAGTTGAATGGAGCCTCCTTTATATATGTGAGGAGTTCCAAAAGTCTTAGTGTTGAGTTAATCGATTGACTGAATCGGCCAAGAGAGGGGTGAATTGGCAATAAAAATTTTGGTGGAAGCTTTTGCAGAAAATTGAAAGAAATTGCACAGCGATTTAGAGTGGTTCGACTTTATCAACCAAAGTCTACGTCCACTACCTTAGCTATCCACACTAAGGATTTTCCAACAAATTCACTAATTTGTTCTTTCTTTTGAGGCCAAAGAGATAACCTTACAACTCCCTCAAGAATATACCCCAATTCTTGAGAACACTCTTTTCTCAAAGAGAAATACAAATTTGCAAACTTACAAGAAAAACCTCACAAGGCAAATATGTTTGCACAATTCTAGAACAAAGAAAGAACACTCAAGAA